AATAACAGCACATTTGAGCAATGCAATTGTAGTGGATAAAATGGTCAATTTTTCCGTGCAGTACTGTACGGATTATACGCTCCTCACCGGTTAAGAGTTTGGCCGAGAGTTGTCTCCTTCCTTTTCTGGCCTAGTGCTGTTTTTTCTACTATGCGCCGGTCAAACTGAAGGTCACATCGCTACAGAAAGTAAACCAAGTATACGTACATTTTATGTAGTAGATATTTAGACGATGCCTATTCAAGTCGCTTAGGGTGTTAATTTACCTTGAAAGATTTTAAATTTAAATTAAATCATCGGAAGGGGAATTTTACAAATTTTAAATAGTTTTATGCCAAAGCTCATTTTATACTGTTGCACTTAAACAGCCTTCTTCCTAACCTTTTACTTTTATGTGAATGTATACTGTACATACCTATACAAAGTAGAAAGAAGTACATAGTAAAATTTTAATGTTTTTATGTGAAAAAAGGTATAAATATATAAAAAAAATCTATATATAGATATATATGTATTTATATACATACGTAATTTATTTGTACAATATAAAATGTAAAAGACATCCCTTGTCTGCAATAAAGTGAATATTTCATTATTTGCACTTGTATAAAAATTCTGGTTTTTCTGGTTTCTGTGATACGATTGATTCGGTTGTACCAGAACTTGTCAATAGATTGTCAGATCCTTCGCTTCCCTTGCAAGGATTGCGGGGTGGACAGTTTGGTGAAGCTTGTGTTATAAGGGCGGCAATGCATTCAAAAACCCATCTCTCCGATTGATTAGCATTGATCACTGTTGCTGTTTCGCCACAATAATTCCTCATGTATCCGTAATTCTCGCAGTAATATGTTATCTAATGGTCAAGTGAATAAAAAGGTACTAATTTATTACATAAACAAAGACTTCATTGAAATAAATATAAAGGAGACTGTGGCGTATTGATAAAAAGAAAGAAAGGTTGTTTTTTAAAAGGTTGTGGTTAGTTGGGGTAAGACCTTTCTTTTTGTTTAAAGACTTCATAATTTGAAATAGAAGATACAAAATATGAAAAATTCTCTTTTCCAAATAATCCCTAAAAGCTTGTTTGAAATGCGAGGTGTGATCAAAAAATACGATGAATATTTTATTACGAACAGAGAAATAAGCTTAGATCCATATTTTATTTAATCTCCTTTCGAGTACTCTACTCGGCAGACGATGCACTTACAGAGCAAGATCCCAGAGCCGTCAGACTTTACTTATTTTCAGAGTAACAAAATGAAGTACGTAAAAATATTACTTGCTTTTTTTAAGTCTGAATGCATGCTGAAACATAATGTTTCACAGAATATTGGTTAATTGTCCAGAATTGAGTTTCCAAACTAAAATCACTCCAAAAATTTTTTCATTGATTTCCGACCATTCTACATAATAGAATTATATATTAGAAGTGGGGGAGACAGTTTTCTATGACTTCATAAATAAAAAAAAATCTTTTTGAATGATAATTTTTCAAAATTGCCCCAATTCTGGACAATAACCTGCACAGAAAAAAAAAAAAGAATTTTATGTCCCACAACATCAAACAGTTTACCTTAAAAGCTTTTTCTATACTGCCAGATATTATTCTAGTCTAGTAAAAGCTGGTCAGGAGATATCAATGCCATCCGAAAAATGGACGAAGTTTACGTAAGTTAAATCAAAAGTGATGGTGGACAGTGGTGATGCAGTAGATAAAAATTATTGCAAAAAACATGAAATATCATCATTAGTTCTCATTATTTCGGGATAAGTTTGAGACTAATTTGTTTGCTTTCGGAGGGTAAATCAATCGATGAGAACCTTGATCGATTAATTTTTCTAAAGGGAATACCTGTTTTTGACCTCAGCAATGGCAAGAATTTGATAATCGTAAATTCCCTTGAAGCTGACTTGTTCTGACCTTTTTATATTCCGAATGGCATTTGTATACAGGGAAAAGAACGAAGGCGAGGTTTATTTGTTTATAACCCAATAAAATTGTAATTACCCATAAATTGAAAATAGCCTACAATAAAAACCGTCCAAATCGTTACTTTTTGGTGCAGAAATAAAGTAAAATTGAGCAGTGAAACAATGCTGCAATTTTCTAATCAAACCATTATATGTACATAGTAAGCATTCCCAAACCAGTTTGTTTAGGTATAAGGATTTATAAGAAACAAGAAGTTTTTGTTTCTAGTAATACTAGATAATATTTATCTTAAATTTAAACAGAAAAGTCAGTCAGGATTACCTTTGCTATGTAGCATACGATGAAAGCTATGAAATTTACATTCAGTCCATCGCCGTAGCCAGAACATTTTTTAGGGGGGGGGTAAACATAGAAAATATATTTTTTTGAAATTAAAACTTATAAATAAAGGAATTAAACGTATGCTTCTGTCTTTTAATGCAAAAATATCTATTACTTTATCGGTGGGTATATCAACATCTTGATGAATTGACATAGCAGCTATCCCAGATAGTCGCTCTTGTCCGCACGAATTTCTCAAATAAGTTTTTAATCTTCTCAATGAAAGAAAATGTACGCTCTGGTGTGTATGTAGTTACTGATAGGTATGCATATATTTTCAATAATACAAATATATTTGGAAAAAGTTCATCGCGCCGAACTCTTCTTCTAATAATGATAATTCGGTTTTCGTTGAATATTGAAATTTATAGCAATTAGATTGTAAGAGCGAATTCAATGATGATAAGATGTTTCGGGAAGGGTGATTACATTTTCAAAATTGGAATTGTACAGGATGTCCGGAAAGGGTAGAGGATATTTGTAAATTCAATAAAAAAAATTACAAGTTGGACAAGAAAATCATTTTTGTTAATTTTTAGACAAAGTTTTGGAACATTAAATGCCAAAGATAATTTTGTCCAAATGTAGACCCTCGTCCATCTGGCACTGCTCTAACCGAAAATGGAAATTAGTCGCCAAGCGTCAACACATCCCTCTAGAATCGGCGACCATTTCGGTGTGAACATTGCTTCAATTGCAGTGGAGATCGTGGTTTGTTTGCATACACCTTCTCTTGAAGGTATCCCCATAAAAAATAATCAGGAGGTGTGAGATCGGGGCTTCGCGGGGGCCGGTTGATAATGTCTTAACGAGAGATCACTTTTTCCGGGGAAAGTTGATTGACAACCCCAAGCGATTGGTTTGAGGTGTGGTAAGCGACCCCATCTTGTTGAAATCATATTTCCACATTGAAACCACCAAACTCTTGCAGTTGTGGAACTAAAAAGTTTCTTAACTTGTCACAATATCGGTCACTGTTTACCGTAAGTGTTCGACCTCGCTCGTCTTCAAACAAAGAAAGCCCAATGATCTCTTTACCAGACATGGCAGCACACGCAATAACTTTTGGACTATGTAGTGGTTGTTCATGTTTATGTCTTGGATCTTTCTTGGCCCAGTAGCGAAAGTTCTGTTTGTTTACGTGACCATTTAAGTGAAAATTCGCTTCGTCAGTAAACAGAATGTTTTCAAACATTGGCAAGCGTTGAAGCATTTCATTTGCAAAATTCAGTCGGAGAGGACAATCGATAACGTTCAGTTTTTGAACTAACTGAATTTTGAAGACTGTAAGATGTAAAGCAAGATTTACGCTTTAGAATCTTCTGTAACGACGATTTTTTAATGTGAAGTTCTTGACTGCGTTTACAAAGTGATTGAGACAGATTTTCACGCACTGACACTCTCATTTCTTCAAAAATAGTGAAACAACCTATCCCTACTGCTCCCCTCCGAACCGTGCCGTTACAAGGACAACACAGATACAAATACTCCCTACTGTTTCTGGACACCTTGTATAGCTACCCAGGTGAAAATAATTCAGAATTGTTTTCAGGATAACGTAAATGCCTAATACTAAGTAAGCTATGCTATTGCAAGTTTTAAATTATTGAAATTTTAAATCAGGTGCCTTCTTGTAAATATAAAACCTAATGGGTAATTTTGTAGTAATTCAAATACAGTAATAAACTACTTTTTATGGTTACCTCTGCATTGATAACTTCAATTCGGTCCTTTGGATGAACTGCTAACTTTTTACCAATTGTTAATTCAGGGTTCAACTTTATATCAGTTTCAGAACCAGTAAAAACGTTTATTCGTTTATTCTTAAGTCTTTCCCGACAAACATTTAAATCGCATTCCAGAAAAACAACTCTAATGAGAAATCGGTATCATGCAGATTATTTTTAAAATAATTAACAACTAATTAGTATTTCTTTAATTTTTAAAACGAAAGTTTTAATAGGCCAAAAGTAAATATGTATAAAATGAGATATTGCTTAGATATTATTAAAATGTTGAATTTTAATAATGACTTTTTGTCACAATGAATTACTACATTATGAAACTAATGTTTATGTAGTTAAGTTTTTAGTACAATGAAATAATATAGAGCATTGATTCTCTACCTTAAATTAATTAAACTAAACAATTCTCTACCTTTTGTAACTTACCGGCTAAAATTAAAATACTTGCGCCCATAAATCTAAATGATCCCGCTAAGGAAAATGACACTTTGTCAAACCCTCTGAATCTTGTTAGTTCTCGACGTGAAAATCAAAAGTCTCAATAGGTGCTACGTTATAAAAACTCATGTTTTTGAGGTATAATTCTTCAAGGTTCCATTCTTTCGTAAGGACTTTCAAAGTTCAAATGTACTTATTGTACGTATTGAATACAGGGTTACAAACTGGCAGGGTTGCAAAATGACTCGAGAGTCCGAACATGACTATGAATGAGTTAGAATTTAGAAAGGGCTAATTCACAAAACTAATATAAAATTTTATAACTAATATTAGTTATCCATGCGAAAAGATATGAGTTAATATACGTTCTGTTTCTGCATCTGCACACGCTTTCATTATCCATGCGAAAAGATATGAGTTGACAGTTCTCCAGGTATCATGTAGCACTTTTCTTGTGGATAACAGTGAGCATGAAAAATATCTTAGGCTAGCAGTTTTATGCATTGTTACAAATATTTGTAATGTTGTTGATTTAATTAATACTTATCTATTGCCGCCCATAGCGTATTGCAGTTTTGATTAATTCATGTTCTAATATTTTTAGGTTTTAAATAAACAATGCTTTTTTATTCTTCTAACAACCCAAATAAAGAACATAACTTACTAAACTGTTAAACACATGGTTTTAGATCAGGGATGGCAGTACACTGCAAGTGCAAGTGCACAACCTAGGTGTTCTAGTGTAGGTCGTCAGTCTTAAGATTAGTTGGACACGCACCTTCATTGTTTCCTTTCCTGAGCTAATCTTCTCATTTCCCTAGAACTAAAACAACCCACATCCTTAACTATTTGTGAACAGTATTTTAATCTAGGTCTACCTCTATTTCTCTTAACTGCTGCTTCTGCTTCTAATATGTCTGTGACTAGCCCTTCGTGCCTGAGAAGGTGTCCTACCAATCTATCTCGCCTATTTATTATTGACTTTCATAGAGTCCTCTGTTCTCCTATTCTTTCTAATACCTCCTCATTTCTAACCTTCTCTATCCACGCTATCCTCATCATTCGCCTGTAACGCCACATTTCGAACGCTTCTAACATTTCCTCTTCCGCCGCGCCCCCCGTTCATGTGCAACCCTCTCCCTTAAATCCCTACTACTCCTTGCGTCCTAACTTATCTGAATTCCTAAATACCGAAAATCGGCCACTTCTAATTTTTCGTTTCCCATCTTTCTATTCCCCCTTTCCCTACTGTTTTTTCCCTTGCATACCAGTATTTTTGTTTTTCTATTGTTTATCTTCATACATTACCGTTTTGTCAATACCGCTTCCATTTTATTTGAAGCTATCTCTAAGTCCTCCTTACCTGCTGCTAATACTGCTATGAGTAGTGTGCTTATGGAGAATGAAAGTTGGAGTATTCAGAGCTGTACCACACTTTTGCATCGTGCATTACCATCTCTGGTCTGAAATCATGGCATATCCATAATGTGCAATACTCGTAGGTATAATACATGAAAATATCCATATATTGAATACATATAATAAGTATAACTGGACCTTGGAAGTCGCTACGGATGAATTTCTCTGCAAGATATTGTTGTTCGAAAAGTCATTTCGTTTTTTCCCGACAGAGGATTTAATTGTATTCTTTTGCACTCAACTTCACATTTAAGCCGTATAATTTTTATATGCTTTGAGAGCTCATATAGCAAGGCTTGTGTGTGAAAAAATCCAATTAATTCTACGCAGTAGTTTTTGGTTGGTGCCCTTTTAAATATGGAGAGCGATAAGCAGCATTTTCGACATATCTTACCGTTTTACTACAGAAAGGGTAAAAATGCTGTTCAAGCCAGAAAGAAATTGACTGATGTGTATGAAGAAGGTGCGTTGACAGTACGCCAGTGCCAGAACTGGTTCGCTAAATTTCGATCCGGCAATTTTGATGTCGAAGATGCACCACGTTCGGGAAGGCCGGTTGAAGCTGATAAAGACGCGATAAAGGCATTAAGTGATGTGAACCGGCGAATAACAACACGTGAGATCGGATTGAGGTTAGAAAAATGGGTTGTATACAACAACGTCAAACGCAAGAGGTCATGGAGCAAAAAGGATGAACTGGCTCAAACCATTTCCAAAGCCGATATTCACCAAAAAAAGGTGATGCTGTCTGTTTGGTGGAGATTTTAAAGGAATCGTTTTTTTTTGAGCTTTTACCGAATAACACAACGATTAACTCGGAAGTCTACTGTCATCAGCTGGACAAACTGAATGATGCACTTCAACAGAAAAGGTCAGAACTAATTAACAGGAAAGGTGTAGTGTTTCACCAAGACAACGCGAGACCTCACACAAGTTTGGTCACTCGCCAAAAGCTTTTACAGCTTGAATGGGATACAATTCTACACCCACCATATTCTCCAGACCTGGCACCATCGGATTATTATTTGTTCCGGTCACTCCAAAATTTTTTAGACGGTAAAACCTTCACCTCAAATGAGGAGGTCAAAAACCTCCTCGATCAGTTTTTTGCCAGCAAAGACTAAAAATTTTATGAGCGTGGAATTATGCTACTACCAGAAAGATGGCAAAAGGTATTGTACCAGAACGGTCAATATATAATTTAATAAAGTATTTGTTTATTATACGAAAACTGTCTTTCATTTCCACAAAAAAAACGAAATGACTTTCCAACAACCCTATATTTTAGAAAGATGAGTACGACGTAGCCTCCTATGATATTTTTGACTTCACTTCTACACGTTGAGGACTACCAGAATCTAAAGTTTCAAAGGGTTCGATAGGCGGTCATTTTCCGTAAGAATCTAACGATGTGTTGTTGGAAGTATGCATCTTTAATGTATATATATTTTGCTATAGAATTTCGTAGTAAAGAATCTGCTTCATCTTACCTGTTGGGAGGTGTATCGAGGGTATCAAGATGTCGAAAGTCAATTTCATTATTAGGAAATCCAGTGAGAACCCACCCCTTTTCTAAGCAATCGTCCTCCAAAATTCTTTTGTTAATTATTTGAGATAATAAATCCGATTGAAAACAGACTTCATCCTTACAAGCCCTCAACTGTTTACCTAATTCAGAGTCCGAAATCCAAGCTTGATTGAGGAGTTGTTCAAAATCAACTGCAAATTACTGTTATCATGCAAAGAATTGTTTATATTTTTTTATATAGAATCGACATTATTTGCTAATTCCCAAATGCTGTTTTACCATGGATGAGGCCCATACGAGAGTTAAACATTTTCGCCTGAGTTTTTCTTCCACAACCTTTCGGACCCAGAATTACAATCCTTGTAGGTCTTAATGGAACGATAGCTTTACGAATATTTGTTAATTCTGCACATCGAGTAATCACTTCTACAATATCTTGATCTTTCAAGAAAACTTCCTTTAAAGTATAAATTTGGTTTAAAATATTTAAAGTGCAAATTTTTACTTAGAAATTGTGGAAAAATTGTTGTACATACAAATGAGTTTATCAGACTATTTTTTAAATATCCTTAGAAAAATAGAAATCTGAAAGACTCGTTAGTATAACAATGAAATTTCCCTTATCACTGATGAAAAGTATGAAATTGTTGATAACAGTTTAAATTGTATAGTAACTAAAATGTTTCAAACTGTAAGAAACTTTCACAAATGCTGCTTCTTGCATTGGTTTAATTTCCACAATAAATATCTTTATCTATTTTGGAATAATTATCTCTGACACAAATGAAATATTTAATTATTCGGGGAATTGCCTACTTAGTTAATATTTTATAGGTCAGTATTCATCATCATAAAGTCGTCAGTCCGAAGACTGATTGGACACGTACCTCCACTCATTCCTATTCTGAGCTAATCTTCGCATTTCCCTAAAACTAGTACAGGTCTGACGAAGGAAGCTGGGGAGCGGTCGCGCAGGTACTTGCCCATTTATGACTTATTTGGGTAAGTCACTTGGAACCGTTACACAAATAAGCTTTCAGTAGGCGTAAATTATAGTATTAATACAGATAGGACAGTAGCGTACTAGAAAATAATGTAAAAACATAACTTACCAAAAAGAAAAAATAAACCTTTTGCTTTTGTTTTATAGCTAGTTTTCACATTCACTGTCATCATGGGAATCTCTATCACTGTCACCAACATCAACAATTAGTTCTTCTGTTTGTCTGTCTATTACTTGCTCACCGATCCCTATTTTTAAATATTTAATCTACGCCCCTGATAGGAATACTGAAGAAAGAGGGCTGCAATCGTTATACTTAAAACTGCCTACTTTTGCCACCGCGCATCCACGTCATTTTAAAATTTCCACCAGCTTCCAGCGTCAGGCCTGTACATCTCATATGCTTAACTATTTGTTAACATTAATCTAATCTTAGTCTACCTCTACCTCTCCTAACTCCTGTTTCTGCCTTTAGTAAGTCTCTGACTAGACCTTCATGTCTGAGAAGGTGTCCTACCAACCTATCTCGCCTATTTCTTATTGACTTCCATAAAGTCCTTTTGTTCTCCTATTCTGTCTAATACCTCTTCATTTCTAATCATCCTCATCATTCGCCTGTAACACCACATTTCGAACCCTTCTAACCTTTCCTTTTCTGCCGCGCCCACTGTCTATGTTTCGCACCCGTACAACGCGGTGCCCCAAACGTACACCTTTAACAAACTTTTTCGAATTTCTCAATTAAGCGCTATCCTCTGTTTTTATATCCTTATTACTTCTTCCGTCCTGACTTATCTGATTTCGTATATATCTAAAATCAGTCACTTCTTCTAATTTTTTGTCTCCTTTCTTTTTTTCCGTACTTTTTCTTCCCTTGCGTACCAGTATTTTTGTTTTAATGTTATTTATTTTCATACAGTATTGTTTTGTCAGTACCGCATCCATTTTATTTGAAGCAATCTAACTCCTCCTTGCTAGATACTAGTACTGCTATATCATCTGCAAATCTGAGCATACTAATCTTTTGCCCCTGTATATCTATCTCTAAAGTTGTACTGTCTTTATGGTGTTAAAACTCAATATTAATTCCACAAAATTCTGTGGAACTTGACACGAAAATTGAGTTTTATTTATAAAGTGAACTGCGAGTTTTTATGAAATTAACTTGGATATGGTAACAAAATTAGCCCTTCCTAGATTTATTTTATTTATCATGATATTCTTCTTTTTGACGCTGGGTCATGATAAAGTTGTATAAGACGAGTGGTATGCCCATAATATAAATGAAAATATTTACCACTAAACAGTGTTTAAATACATCTCTTATTCCCATTATGTTTCTCCTATATTCGGGCCAATAAGCATGAACGTTACAGTACATTAATTCACATAACGGTGGAAGAAAGGGAGGAATTAAGTGCAAAACGTGTGTTGGTAAAATTCCAGCCTTAAGCATGGCTTTTGCTTCGTCAATTGTTTTAACGCATTCTAAAAAAAAATTCAACCATTTAAATCTCTAAAACAAATTTCTATTTGCTCACCATCACAAAAAATGCCAATATTAAATAAAAAGGAAAAGTAATGTAGAAAGCAATGTTTTGAAAAAGTCGAATATGTTAATTAAATTTTGAATAGCCTTTTTTCTCATTAATGATATTGTGACTTTATTAGGAGGCACAATGTTAATGTTATCTACGTACGATAATCTTAATCAAAACTGACACACAGCGAAATTTGAAGCTGCTGACTTTTAAATTAAACTTCTGCTGGAATACTTGGTGAGAACAACGAGAAGTTTTAAAATTAAATTAAAAGTTATCTATTATTTTTATATAACTTCAACGTTAGGTCAATTTTGGTCTAAAATTAGTGTCTTTCATTAAATTCCAGACTAAGCCACGTAGTTCCTACAAAAGTATGTTTTTGAACTTTTACCGTTCTTTCCAACCTTTAAGATTGTTGTTACTGCTCACGATTTTAAGTAAAGTATTTTTCAATGCAGAACCCAAATATAATATCGAATATCTAGACTCATTGATTATTTATCTCTAAAGAACCAAAAACATCCCTTGTACGAGGGTGGATTGATAAGTTTCCGGCCTAACCAAGAGATGACGCCACTAGGCCTACCTTGAGGTGACATTCTATAGTACCATCCTTGGATAGCTTGTAGCTATAGTTTCAGCCCGATCTCCTTGCTAGTGTAGGTTTGACAGCACGCTGAACAAGACGCCTCTGTGGTTTTCGTAAAAATGGAAAAGCAGGAAAATCGTGCTGTCATCAAATACTTTTATTTGAAGGGGTTAACGCCGAAGGAAATTAAAAAAGAGATGGACTCAACACTGGGGACATCCTCCCCGTCATATTCAACCGTTAAGCAGTGGGTTTCCGAGTTTAAAAAGGGTCGTGTGAGCACCTCTGATGGGCCTCGCTCAGGACGCCCCGTTGAGGTCACAACTCCAGATATGATCGAAAAAATTCATCAAATAGTGCTGGGAGACCGCAGATTGAAAGTGCGTGAGATAGCTGAGACCTGTAAGATGTCATATGAACGTGTGCAACATATTTTGCACCAACATTTGCATATGGAAAAGCTCTGTGCAAGATGGGTGCCGCGTTTGCTAACAGTCGACCAAAAATTGATTCGAAAAAACATTTCTACCGCAAATTTGTCATTGTATAAGCGTAATCCAAGCGAATTTTTGCGTCGATTCGTAACCGTTGACGAAACGTGGGTCCACCACTACACTCCTGAAACCAAAGAACAGTCTAAACAGTGGATTGGACCAGGGGAACCAACTCCAAAGAAGGCAAAAACAATTTTTTCGGCGAACAAGGTTATGGCTACTGTTTTTTGGGATGCAAGAGGTATTATATACATTGATTACCTTGCAAAGGGTAATACTATCACTGGTCAATACTACGCAGACTTATTGCAACGTTTGAGCCACGAGGTGAAAATTAAACGACCTCATCTGGCGAAGAAAAAAATCTTGTTTCATCACGATAACGCACCAGCGCACACGTCAATCGTTGCGACGGCTAAAATCAACGATCTAAAGTTTGAATTGATGCCGCACCCTCCTTACTCTCCAGACCTAGCCCCGAGTGACTATTTTCTGTTCCCTAATCTCAAAAAATGGCTTGGCAGTAAGAGATTTGCGGACAATGAAGAAGTAATCGAAGCTGTAAATGGTTATTTTGAGGAGCTTGACGAATCAGTCTATAGAGATGGCATTAATAGACTGGAACACCGCTATGAGAAATGTATCAGCCTTGGAGGAGATTATGTTGAGAAATAAAAAAAAAAAATTTTTAAAAACCTTGTTTTTCTTGGTCAGGCCGGAAACTTATCAATCCACCCTCGTATTAGGGTGAAAATAGGGAAAAATGTAGTTCTTAGGCTTTCACGGCCGGTGTATATCGATGCTACGTTTTCTTCCGGTCTTTTTGGCCATGGTGCGTGGAATCTTACTTTTCCAAACGTCTCGCCGTTCTTTGCTGACGGCAAGTGCTGAGTCGTAACTGATCATCAGCCTGCCCAGTCACCGTTGAAGATGCTGTCAGCAAAGAACGGCGAAACGTTTGGAAAAGTAGGATTTCATGGACCACGGCCAAAAAGACCGGAAGAAAACACAGCATCGATAGGGAAAGATGATTAAACTGAACATAATATAAATTTTTAGGCTGAATACATGAACAAAAGTATTTTCTAGGACTTAGGTTCACAATTGAAACACACATGTATGGGGGTTAAAGGTAAAAATTACTCTTATACAACATTAAACTCAAAAAGTATATTAATTGACAAAACTCTTGAACTCTAAGGTTTTCATACTAATAAATAAAGAGTTTTATTAATATGAAAAAACATAGTTTAGAGAAGAAGTTGATTGTACGGTGAAAAACTACCCCTTATCTTCAATTATTCAAAACATCGAACGCATCATAAATTACATTCTGAAAACAGTTTATTTGGATTTGGATCGATAAAAAATATTTTTTTGCATAAGATCTATTATGAAAATGAGAAAAAAGTGGATGAAAACTGACCGTTGACAATACTCAACAATTTTTCATACATTTATTATCTACGTCTTTTTGATGATAGTGGACGCATTTAAAATGTCAGGGTTCGTTCCATACCCGAGGTAGCATACGATTGTAGTTATGTAACTATCGTAATGGTCAGATTTATTAAACTAAAAAAAATTTTAATGTAACACTTCCCAAAAAATGCTTTTTTAATATGCCAGCGCCTCTTGATTCCTTTTTATACTCCAAAATGATTATGTGATGAAAATTCACCACTAAGTTTGACTCCGTTTTGTTACCTATTCGCAGATGTAATAAAAAATACCTACTAGTTACCGCTCTACACCCAAACCTAGTTCAATCAAAATGCTATACTTGATGCATTCACTGTTTTTTCCCCGATTTAAGTTTATAATCCAAGATAAGACTTAAATTCTTTATCCTGTAATCATCTGTTTTTGTGAACTAGGTCGTAACAGATTTATGGTTTATTTATTTTAATAAAATTTAGGAGTTTAAGAGTCCAAGATTTTTTTCCAACAGCTGGAGTTGTTGTTCAGTTTAATATATCATAAGGGTAGTGTTCAACCCCTTACAGGTGTGCTTCAATTGCTTTGTGTATTGCATAGCACATATCACACCTTCAATTGCTTAGAAATATATCAAGAACCAACATATGTTCTTCTTGAAATTTTGTATTAAGCATGAACATAACATTAATAATCATTTAGAAACAAAATTTGACGTTATAACCGATGTTTTTATAACCGAGTTGCACTGTCCTTAACAGCAGTTTGTAAGTAGTGTTTGTGTATATGTACCATAATATGATGTACCAAATTAAAGATCTTCTGCATTCTACGTTCATTAAAAAAGAGTGCGGAACGACGTTATCAAAAACGTGCTCCATAGGAATATATGCATTTCCGCGAAAAATTTGCTCGAAAAAAGTTTGAGTTCTTGAAGATGGGAATTTCGCGTGTACGTATACGATCGCGAATGGTTCCAATTGAAAGATACAAAAGCTCAAAAATATCGAAAAAGAGTTCATCGCGACACTCTCCACATGACTTAAAAGGGCAGAGCTGTTAAGTTAAACTCGTGTAATAATATTAGTTTTGGATGGGAAAACCCTAGTATTTGTTAAAATAAATTAAGTAATAAAGATAATTTCAATACCAGCAAGGATCCATCCGGACGAAGAAGCTTTTTTATTTCTAATAAGATAGCCGAGAACTCGTGCAAATTGTTTTGGGTTTAAATCTTTTCTGGGTCTCTAGAAATGCATACGTTAAACTGTTCCAGTTTAAATATCGTTTTACTTACTGGTTTATAAAATGCATTGATATCTTCATCGGCAATGACCAGCTTTCGCGTTTTTGCGCCCATCTGTTCAGCAATTTCTATGCAATTAACTTTCGGAGAAGCCAAAATTACAATTCTCGTGACATCTCTACTGTTAACTGCTTGTAAAAGAATTTGTTTTAAAAAGAGGACATGGTCGGCAGGTTGTTGAATAACCAATTCTCTTGCTAACTCCTAACGATTATTAAAAAAAAAGAAATGGTTTGTTTTCTTAAATTGATACTTTTATTTACGTGAAATAATTCGTAAATGCGATGTTTTTCCATGTAAGGAATATGCCATGGAGGAAATTTTAATTTATGTTTACATTCTTCTTCAGCAATTACTTCTGTAGCTCTTTTCTCTCTGCATTGTGTTTTTGGCGAAAAATCTCGAATTCTTTTATTGCAAGCCATTCTGACTGTTAACTGTATTTGTCATTAACAGAGCTATCTTTAAATTAAAATAAATTTGAATATTAGCTTTAGTTTTAACTAAGTTTTGGTTAAAAAAATGGCAAAGGAAATGCAACANACTAAGTTTTGATTAAAAAAATGGCAAAGGAAATGCAACACCCTGTATCTTTTATTTCTCTTCGTCCTTTCAGTTGTTCTAATATTACAAATTAAAAACACTTAAATTTTGTTACAATAATTATGATGTAAGTTTTTGTAAATACTTTCATTTTTTAAGTTAATTATTGTTTTTAATTACACTTTTGTTAAACTTTAAAATAATTGGATGAGAGTAAGAGGCGTATTGAGAAGTATGGATAATGTATTATACATTTGTTCCTCAGTTATGGATTTTAAAATATACCAAGTTGTAAAATACGAATGGCGGCTACGTAAATGATAAAAAAGTGGTCAATTTGGAAAAGTTATATTACAATTTAGTGATTGTAAGTGGAAACTCAACGATACTTGTCCTAAAGTAATAGTTGAAGATTGTTTTCATTCTGAGATAGCTCATTCTTCGTGTTTTTAGGTGGTTTTTAGTAAGTTGTAGACAATAAGGAATGCTACCGCTTGGTACAACACCAGCGGTACATGGACAAAATAATATGCAGGCTAGTACACAAAATTCTTCATTAACACCCACAGGTTCTTCTAATAAGTCTAATAGCAGTTCATTGGTAAGTACTATTTTACAAAGTACATTGTTTTCGTGCTAGTAATTGTTGAGGTTATATTAGATATGAATTATTCAATTCTCAGTTAATTGAACTCATGAATTAAAATATATTATTTCCTTATTTTAGAAACCGAATTATACCTTAAAATTTACTCTTGCTGGGCATACAAAAGCAGTTTCATCTGTTAAATTTAGCCCAAACGGTGAATGGTTGGCAAGTTCCTGTAAGTTTACGCCTTTCAATGTAAATGTGATTTATTAAGACTAATTTATAAATTTTTAAGCTGCTGATAAACTTATCAAAATTTGGGGAGCCTATGATGGTAAATTTGAAAAGACAATATCAGGCCATAAACTTGGAATAAGTGATGTAGCATGGTCAAGTGATAGCAGATTGTTAGGTACATCATTTTTAATTAACTTTAGATTTAATAAAATAAGAATTAATGTCTTCTAGTGTCTGCAAGTGATGACAAAACATTGAAAATATGGGAACTGTCTTCTGGAAAATGCCTTAAAACATTGAAAGGACATAGCAATTATGTTTTCTGCTGCAATTTTAATCCCCAATCTAATCTTATAGTATCAGGTTCCTTCGATGAATCAGTTCGTATTTGGGATGTACGGACAGGAAAATGCTTAAAAACCCTTCCTGCTCATTCTGACCCTGTTAGTGCAGTACATTTTAATAGAGATGGGTCGCTTATTGTAAGCAGCAGTTATGATGGTCTTTGGTTTGTGTTTCTAATATCTGTTAGAGATTTTTGTTGTTAAATGTTTTTCTGCAGTCGAATATGGGATACAGCATCAGGACAATGCTTAAAAACATTGATTGATGATGATAATCCACCAGTTTCTTTCGTTAAATTTTCTCCAAATGGAAAATATATTTTGGCTGCCACTTTAGATAATACATTGAAATTGTGGGACTATTCTAAAGGAAAATGTCTTAAAACTTATACTGGTCACCGAAATGAAAAGTATTGTATTTTTGCCAATTTTTCAGTAACTGGAGGTAAATGGATTGTAAGTGGTTCAGAAGATAGTTTGGTGTACATTTGGAACTTGCAGTCTAAAGAAATTGTTCAAAGACTTCAAGGACATACAGGTGATACTTTTTGATTAGAGTTTATGTTTCAAAGAAGTTTGTTTCTCTTGTTTAAAGTTGATTTAATTTGTTAGGACCATGTTAGAACCATATATAAGGTAAAAGTGTTCCCATGTTTTCCATGTGGTACACCAACACTTTTTCATTTATTGAACTAAATTTTATTTCAGATGTTGTACTGTGTACAACTTGCCATCCAACTGAAAACATTATAGCATCTGCAGCTTTGGAAAACGATAAAACAATAAAACTGTGGAAAAGTGACACATGAAATAATATAATGTGCAAATTATTTTCTCTTTAATGATAAGAATAAAGTAGGACATTTCAAACTCATAATGACGTAATTACTGATGAAGGAGAACTGTTAAAGAATGATTTAACTTATAGTTTTCTTATATCAGTATTCATTCACAGACTACCTTTAAATGCAAAATACAGTTTTATATTTTTTTCTAATGAAATGTAAATAAATATAACTTTTGAGAGTGACTAATGTTTTAATTCCTCAATAAGTAATTTTCAAATATTTTGTTATCAGTGTAGTCTTTGAGAATAGTACCTCACACCCCTTATAAATATAATGTTTGGAGGGCATTACTTCCTGAAGTTAAAAAATAGAATAGATAGAACTCAAGTTAAATATTTTAGATAAAATTTAATTTATTTTACTTTTATAAACAGAAATACAATTTTCTATTAAATAAAATCAATTAAATTCTTTACACATAAAATTAATAAGTATTTGTTTCAGTGAGTTTATGTTGCCTTTTTTACTTTTCCATAAGATCCTAGAATATTTCCTTTGCCTTTTTTTCTTTTTCTATCAAAACTTTTACCTTTTGCTGTAGATTTACCTATTTTATTTTTTCCTAATTGATTAAGTACATTTTGTCGTTGAATTTCGTTACTTTCTTTCTTCTTCTCCAACAGCAGTTGCTTATAGTTTTTGTACTTATTTTTTGGTGGTTTTGCTCCTAAACGTATTGCCAGTTGAACTTTTGCTTCTTCCTTTTTTACAGGATCAAGTGCAGACATTCCCAGTTTCACAACTTCATGTTTCGCTTTTTTTATGTCAATGCTTTGAGTTTCATCATTTTTGGAAGAAGTAGACCTCAACTTGCTTGCAGTTTCAATTTTAGGAACCTTTTTATGAGATATGTAAGTAACATGTTCAAATTTCTTCTCAGCTTCTTGCTTGACAGCTGAACCTCTTGTAGCAATAAAATGTGTTTTACTATCAGTCATTTTGAGTATTTAATAATATAAAGGACCATACAAATCGTTAAATGTTTTTGATTTATATTTAAAAAGAACTATAGTTTTGCTATTTGTGGTTAGGTTATTTGCATGAGGTTATGTTACTAACATAGATAAGGCAACTAATGATAGTTTGAATCATAGATAGTACATAAAAATTGACTAACAAAATCCATAATTTTCAAATGTCATATCTATATTCGAAAACTGTTTTAACTTTAACATCGGCCATTTGTCTATGCTCGCCATTTGATGAGTTTGTTTCGTGCGTGATTTATCAGCGGAGGGTTCCTGTAGAATTTCCATAAGAAGTAGGTAAGTTAATTCTTTACAAAAACTTGCCATTATTAGTTAACAATTGTTTTAAGTCAGAATATTTTAAATTTTAAATGGAAACGATATCTTGCGAAAATACTTCCACGGTATGCCGTTTTGCGCGATAATGTACAGGAGTCGGAAGGCAAAATACTTGAAATGTTGATAATTATTACCATAATTGAAATTCTAGCAATTTTGATATCAAATTAACTGACCAAGTTTCGGCAAATAAACTTTGGAAATTTGTAATCAGATTATTGATATGTAAAAGTAATCTTTAGTCAAGTTTTAATCTCCATTGGTCACAAAAGTCAATCTGGCTGTGGGATCTTTTATGTAAAAATAAAACAATTATTTCAAAAATTAAAATTCAATTTATTTGATACAATTAAAAATAAATTGCTTTAGAAAACTAAAGGAATGATGTACATATTCTTTTATGTATAGTACATATCACAACTGGGTATATATTATATATCTCTTTAGGTATATATATATTTTTCCTCACATGATGTTGAACAAGGGCATATGCGATTTATCAAAATATCATTTTTTTATCAATTTTATTATGTTTATGTATGTATATCTGTAGAAATACGATTATTCGAAAACTCGAGATAGTTTTTAAAAGCAGTTAAAAAAATACGGATCAAAGAAAGAAAACAGTAAAAAAGGTATCAATCTTGCATTTTACAATAAATAGAAAAGAAAATAACCAGGATTGGTTAAATGTCCTAAATACTTGAGTAGTACTCGATATGCTTGATGGCCGTAGTTGAAGATTGTATCTCCTCCTTTGATGGAAAGACCGATGGAGTCATTTATCCGACGTTTCGTCAACAGCTGTAGTTAGCATCCTCAGAGGAAACGTAGCAAGAAAGTAGAGTCCTTCGATGCAGTTATATGTAGTCTCGCAATCCGTGCAATCGCTTAGAAGGACTTTACCTCCTCGCTACGTTCCCTGAAAATGCCAAATACCCTGTTGGCGAAACGAAGGATAAACGACTTCCGGAAGGATTTTGTACTGTTCACACGAACGAGATTCGTACGTGAACAGTCGTTTTCACTCGTACGGAACAGGGGACGTAAAGTTGGTTCGCCTTTTAAATCCACCCCCTGCTATTAATCGTTCAATGTGAGTGAAAACTGTTCAGATAAAAATCTCGTTTTAGTTAGCAGTACAATAACGGTCATGTCACCGATGGAGGAAAATAAAAATAAAGTCTGAAAATATCGAACTCCATTTAAATAATGTCGGCCGTGAAAACCTTGGCCATTTTATGGCAAATACTTGTTTCATTGTAGATACAGAAGATTAAAATGCACTTTGATATATAAATAACATGTTTTAAATAACAAATGAATTAATGTCATATATTCTCATTATAATTTGATCTTATTCTATCAAATTGCTGTCATGGGATTGATTTCTTGAAAGAAACAATATTGCATTTTACATCAATTCTTGAATATGATTATAAAGTACTTACTTTTGTTTCTATTCTACGGTCAACTACAGAAGGCTGCCGTTTTCCTCTTGTTTATAAGTAATTTAATTGATAGGCATTATAAAAAGCGTACAAAAATAATTAATACAGATCGCAAACTAAACGATGACATTTTCTTACTCGGCAGATCACTACTTGGAATATTAGGTATACATTGAAAGTTGTTGGTTGTTTTTAATTTTTTACTCGATTGTGTGTTGCGTGGGAGCAACTTCTAAAAGCATTTGTGTGAATACGGTGAATCCATCTAAAAATATGTGACAAGAAAACGAAATCGTTAGGCTAGGTTCGGTTTTGACAGGAATAAAAAAAATACAACGTGTAATTATACAACACGCTATTGAAGTGAAACTTCTTCAAACACACAAAACACACGGGATATGGGTTAAGGAATTGGTTTAATGATATTATTTGTACATTATGCTTCGCACGGGTGCAATGCTGATAGTAAATATTTTATAGAATGTCTATATAAAACAATCACAGCTTTTTTGTCATTAGACAATACAAACCCGCCGGTACCGCCGCAACCGCTATGTCCTTGCATTTTAAGTCTGTAATATCTTCGAAAATATTAATTTAAATTACATGCTGTAAAGGGCCATATTGATCTATATTAAATGCACAGTGTATTTAAAAGTACTTAATTGGATAAGGATTAATGCTGTATTGTTTAAAATCGCTTCGTAAATAAGCCATTATTTCTCGTAAAAAGTAAAGGATAAAAAATGGTTATTGTGGGTTATCCCTAAGAGATAGACATATACCATCGCGGACTTTTTTGTAGACCTTTTTAAGGTGTACAATACTGTAGTACATTATTTTGATCTATCTCGTAGGGTTCAGCCAGCGTTTGCAATGTAAGCGCAAAAAAATGTGTTTATTTACGACATCACATTACAAACCTCTAAAATTATCAGTGTTTCTCTACTATATTATGCATGTATTATACATATAAACCTTCCTCTTGAATTACTCTATCTATTAAAAAAACCGCATTAAAATCCGTTGCGTTGTTTTAAAGATCTAAGCATACGTAAGGACAGACAGCGGAGGAAATGCGTTGCATGATTTCGTTACATAGCAACTCGTATGAAACGAACTTACCCTACCGTGCGTAAAGAAGTTTCACTTCAAAAAATGATGACTCATTAAAATAAAAGAATGTCTTACCCATGAATGGAATGCGTATTTTATAATGTACGAATGGTACGTAAAAGATCATCCCACTTAGAACAAATATTGCGGCATATAGGTACTCAATAGTTGGGTTGTCTATGATAGGACCTATCACTAGATATATTGATATTAGTAGCACAATAATTGGTATTATTATTGGTACCTGAAAGAGACAATGGGGATGTTTAATGATTTTGACATTAATAAAAGGGCGTTAGTATTTATCTGTAGAATTACCTTATACGGTCTGGGATATTTTGGCTTGGTGTATCTCATAACGATCAGCGCCAACATTGATCCGCCATAAAACATCCACGCAGTAAAACTGAAAAAATCGATTAAAGAATCGATGGTTCCGTAACATACCATGGCTCCGGCTATTATTGACTAAAATTAGAAAAGAAACGCTCAATTTTTTCAATCGAGTTGAATTAGAATTGAATTTATTTCTTCTTTCGTGTAGGTATTGTATAATTGAGTCAATTTAAGAAGACGAAGCCTGCAATAGGCACATCATTTGACTGAATACATTAAGATCACTCTTCCATATTATTTTATACAATTTTCCGTTTTAAGTACAGTGGAATTCGTTTATTATGACTCCGCCTATATTGACCAACCGCTTAATATGAAGTAATTGTAGTGTTAAGTTTGGTTTTCATATTAAATTCTCTATAGGAAAGTTTGGATATAACGGTTCTGTTTAAAATGACATATCGTTTATTATGACTGATTCTTAAGAAATCATATTCGGCTATACTGACCCAAATGATTAATAATAACATTTTCGCTCATTTTTCTGACCCTTCTTATGTATATTAATATTACAATTCATCGTTTTTTTTTCTTTTTCTGTTAATGAATATATACAATTTGTAGTTTTTCTCTCTATTAAACTAAATAACTAACCAAAATAGAAAGTTGTTTGCTTTCTAAGACTATGCTTTGTATGACACCCGCTTAGTATCACGTGTTTGTCATTTCCCTTCGATGTCATTATAAGCGGATTCTACTGTATTGGTATAAAAATGCATTTTTAAAAATCTTATCTTGTATCTTATATTTGAGCTTATTAAAAATTATAATTTAAAGCAGCAAGATTATAGTTATTAATCGGCTTGCATTTCATGGAGGCATTTAATGTACGGATATTCTATATTTGTCGATTTTACTTCAGAGACAGGCCAGAAAATGAATAAAAACGATTCGTTGGTGTTGCCTTTTGTAAAATATTTTTTAAATTTTGAGCAGATAAAATTAACTTACATGGAATATTAAGCCGGGAGCTGGTGTGTATCGCCTTACATGTACATATGAAAGGATATCTAGCATATGTCCTTCGCGACTTGCAGCAAAACAAAGCCGACCAGCGGCGAAAAGTGTACCATTAGCCGCTCCAAAGGTAGAAATGGTAACGGACAATGGCATCAACCAGGCCATGACGCCCAACACTCTATTACCAAACGTTACGGCCACCGCTTCGGAAATCATCATTTCCATTGGCGACATAACCGTCAGATACGAAATGTTTATTAATGCGTAGCATATAGTGACCAAGGGGATGCCGATTATTATGCTCCTTGGTAAATTTCTAGGAAAAAGAAAAATCATTTTTAAATAGGCAGTAGGAAAAAATGGGTGTGTCTGTATATTCAAGCATAGACTTACAACGAAAATTGTTTTAATATCATTGAAACGACATTGACATCGCAAGAACAAGAAGGCTAATAGTAGGACTGGAAACTATGTGGGGTGCTTAATGTACGGCGCCAGATGAAAGTGCGCCACAAAGTTGTAATCGGTGGTTAACTGCGCAATAACTGCTGATATATACTATGTGTTTTCACCGCAGCGTTTTATGGAGAATCGGTTCCACCAAGCGCCTTCAAGATGCCTCAAAATTATAGTTGAGAGAGAGGTCGTTACAACATTGCGATTATACTTTTGCGGCACGAGGTGTGGTGGTGGTGTTTGGTGAAACTGATCGGTGGGATCGCTACAGTGAAAACGGATTTGAAAGTACAGGCAACGATCAGTCCGGCCCTGGTAGGTTTATGGAGGGAAATACGACATTGCAACACCGCATTCAATCAGCTGCTACTTAGAGTTGTTCTTTTAACGTTGTATGCTTGTATTACGTATGTATGTAGACAATCGAAGTCATAAGAAGTAGGTCAATGTGTCAGAGTCATAGGTTTCTGCAAAATAGTATTATTGCATTGACCAACAATGCGTGAGTTTCCAGACGAACATTTTTCTAGAAACTGGATTGGACATACGATATCATTGACGGTGCGTACTTCTGAACTAAATCCGTTTGATTTCTTTTTCTGGGGTTGTATGAAACAGCACGCATGTTAAACGCCAGTGCAAAATTCTAATGATTTGCACGGCCGTGTATGATCGCTGCAAATGAAGTACCTACGCCAAATGCCGGACGTCTCTGCGCGATTCAGAATTAATTATTGTAGTGTACGTATGTATGTGTGTTTAGTGGTATTGTAATTTATAGGGTTGCAGGGCTATAAGGTTACGCACATTGGCAATACCTCAATGGTAGTAAGCAGTTGATATTTACTGTTTTAACAATGTAGTTGTTTACAATTGGTTATTATCGCAGTTTCGCTATACATTGCCATTTAACGTTCAGGTTCACTAAATTATGATTTTCGCTTGTGTAAATTAAAAGTGAAAATGTCGAAAAAGAAATATGTAATTTTTATGTTCGGTAAGCATTTTGCCTTATATGTATCTACACATATGTTATTATCGCGTGGTTAATTAATTGACTTTTTTTTTTAATTTCCCCATTCCTAAATAATTTGAACTTGTTAATTATTGTAAAGTATAAGGGTCAATTGGCTTTATGCTTATTAACAGTATCAAAGTTCAAAGACGAGTACTAACAAACCTTAGTCGTCGATTCAGTTACAGTTGGGGCAATCAAAATTGGCAAAGTTCGTAATAAATTATCTGTGGGAAAGGGCGTATCTTTTTTCTTGCTTTTATTTGGGACAGTAGTCATTTTGTCTGTTTGTAGTCTGTGTTTTGAACATACCCTTGTTAATTTAGGAAATTCTTCATGAGTAGTACAGACACACTGAAAAGAGACAACCGAATCATAGTAGGCGATGCAGCGGTTAGAGGTTACCCACTTGCCCAGGTTTGCAAAAGATCAGGGTCGGCTTTATAACTGCGTGGTTGGAATTATATCTTAAACAAGCATCTTTGCTTTTGTAAGTTCCTGATAATGCTGAACTTTCCTTAAAGTCTGATAGTAGCAACATGCTCATTTGTTTGTCTGGATCTCTTTCTGTTACACATTAATTGGTGTAATGTTATTCCTTTTTCTTTATTAGTGTCCGCTGCAATTCCTACCTGACATCTCTTTTCTACTTTTACGATATTCCCTAGAACGTCTGTCGTGATTAAAGTAGGCATTCTGTCACCAACCGCTCTAGTCTAGTCAGTAAGTTGAAAGAAGAAAGTGAATACGACAGTTTTATGCCAATTTCGAACGTCCCAACTATAAGCAATAAGTTGATATCTTAATAAGGCCTTATCTCACGCATGAAATACTTCATTCGCAGCAAAACCTCACTGGATGGAGATATACCTCCTATACCTGGCTACTAATTCAAATAAATTACGATGACACCCATTTTCAGGATTGCTTTTCGTTTTGTGGGTTTATATAAACCGTAACAGTATTTTTTTTATCTCTTACTAACCTCTTCAGTAACTTCATTCGATTGGCGTAACCCTGTAAACTATCGAAGATAATACGAATAAATGTGGAACCTTTTTTCGTTTTCATCCACCTACCTAAATCCGAGCATTTATTCCCTAATTTATGTAAACGACTTTCATAAAAGTTTACTCCGGTGTGTCGTTTAGACTGAACGAACGACAAATGAATTTTTTGTTGTTGCTTGGTCTTGTAAACGCAATTTTATGAGCCTGGGGTTACAAACTCGAATGAACATATACAGAACAGCAGTGGCGGCTCGTGCTTTCAAAAATATGCTAAGAGTTGGAAAATGAGACCGCGCAAGTGCAGTAGATTGACCAATCTCTTCCTTATTTGTGGGCTGGTGGGGAGCGGTTCGTTTGCGAATTTGTAGCTGACGTCACCGTTGTCAGGACAACCCGCTCACGCTAGCAGAGGTGCAGTTCTTATAAGTCTAGCTCTTCACTTGGGCGTTTAATAAGGATATTAAGACCATTATAAAGAATTATTTAAAATATTACACGCGCTCTGTACGGACACCGCCGATATTTATTCATTTGTTGTAGGTAAAACTAAAAATAATTCTAACAGAAATTATATTTATTTTGTGACCTCTATACTATTCAGAAAATACCTAGCTAATGAGGCTCTTGACCTACTTTACTTGAATAGTCGCCACTGTAGTATAGTCACAGGTATGTTATGTGTAGATAAACGAGGTAGAATTTTAACGAACATATACTTACTAGTGTTCACATTTTCGTAAAATATAATCAAAGAAGTATGAATACAATATACTAGTGATTCCCGATCTTCGAAATATTCGAAAATAATAATTTTATTAGTTAAAATGTCCTTACAAGAAAATGGTAATGATATGAAACAAACAAGTCAAGTATGATGATTAGGCTGGATAAGTCCCATTGAATACATTTATCTCTATGACGAACATGTCTCTTCTTAGTATAGATATAAAAATGCGTACAGTGCCTTAAATGGGATCGATTACGAACTGAGGTTGTTATTGCGATGTATTTTTTTTATTTGGTTCTTCCGTATCTTATTATTGTATTTCAAATTTCCAAGTTCCAGAATGGTTCAATATCCAATTTAAATACGCGTCAATAGCAATTTAGCATAATGGGAAGCCGAGTGTGGCATTTACTCGTTGGGGTGTCGCCTTGACTAAAGTGTCCAAATTTTACAACTACCCTACCGTGGAATATATTAAATGTATTAAGAAAAAGTTAGAAGCGTTCGAAATGTGGTGTTACAGCGGAATGATGAGGATACAGTGGATAGAGAAGGTTAGAAATGAAGTGATATTAGAAGGAATAGGAGAACAGAGGACTCGGAAGTCAATAAGAAATAGGCGAGATAGGTTGGTAGGACACCTTCTTAGGCATGAAGGTCTAATCAGAGACATATTAGAGGCAGAAACGGGAGTTAGGAAGGGTAGAGGTAGACCTAGATTAGATTACTGTTCGCAAATAGTTAAGGATGTGGGTTGTTCTAGTTTTAGGGAAATGCGAAGATTAGCTCAGGATAGGAAAGAGTGGAGGTACGTGTCCAACCAGTCT